CAGGAATATTGTATAATGGATAAACTGTCAGATTCCTTTTCACAGAATGAAAGAGAACCTTATACTTCAAAATTTGTGAAGTTATGGTTTCAAGTTCTAGAATATTTAGCACCTCGTAAAGGGTTTTTTAGATGCCATAAATGCTATATATTGATTTTTAGTTCTCTTTATTATAATGTTGTTCCTTAACATTAACCTAATTGTTTGCATTGTATGGTAATTTCTGTTGTTAATTGTTTCTATATTGTTTGAACTTGGATTTTTTTTAAAAAAAATTCTGCATTTATACTTATTTCAATACAGTTTAGTGAAAAGAAAAAAAAAGGTGATGGAGCACCACAAGCTTTGGGAGCTCATCCATCATGCAACAGAAGCAAACAAACCACAGGCTCCTAAGAGAAAGCATCCTGCTCTGGGGGGCGGTGTGTGAAGGAGCTATGTAATGTGGAGTTCGTGCAATACTGCACCCTCATACACACAAATGGAAACCTCTGACACGGTACTTCAGCCAGTTTTTGAAGCACCCAAAACATTCCCAAAGGACCATTTGAAGCAGCCGTGGGAGGGAGGAGGGTAGTGAGGCTGAGCTGCTGGTTGGACCAAATACCTGTTGTTAGAGATAATATTTGTGACCATTCCCCAGCTAATCCTCATCTGGCAACCCAGAAAACCTCAAAAGGCCTTTTAATTATGTCCATGTGTGGTCTGGGGAAGATGATAACACTGCATTTCTAAATGCAGAACTCTTCTAGAAATTATAATTTAAGGCTATCCAATGGCAAGTTCCCCTGCATTGTGTTGCAAATGCAGTCTGTAAAAATATTCCTAGTACTCTGCACATTAAAAAATATGGGGGTTACTACCACTAGGTAAGAAGCTGAGGTGGCTCAAGTGGTTAAGACGCTGAACTGCAGGCTGTAGAAGGTCAGTAGTTCAGCAGTTCGAGACCCAAGTGTGCCGTATGATGGAGTGAGCTCCCGTCTCTAGTTCCAGCTCCTGCCAACCTAGCAGTTCGAAAGCAAGAAATTGCAAGTAGATAAATAGGTACCACTTTGGTGGGAAGGTAACAGCGTTCCGTATGCCTTGGTGTTTAGTCATGCCGGCCACATGACCATGGAAATGTCTTCAGACAGCGCTGGCTCTTCGGCTTTGAAACGGAGATGAGCACCGCAACCCTAGAGTCGGATTCGACTGGCTTTCGAGCAAGGTAACCTTTACCTTTTACCACTAGGTATGTTTGTGGCATTAGCTTAGTGTCTTGGTCTTCAAGACTGTAAACAACTTAAAGCTATTCCTTATTGTGGCTCAACAAGCCAGATCTTCTACAAAACCAACTGTGGCACCCATCAAATCATTATATTTACAGTACAGCACATACACCTTATCATGTTGTGAATCATCAGGGTACACACTGTGAAACAGTGGGATGGAAATGACAAACCTACAGACAAACCTTTAAGAGCTTTTAAATAGAATCTTCATGGGTCAAAGTCACAGCATCTCGGAATCACCACTTTGTATCCTGACAACTGGAAGAAATGAGGATATGAGTTCTTTCTTTTTTCTTTTCTTTTTTTAAAAGGCTGATGGTGGGAATAGAAAGGAGAACTGTTACCTTCAGGATTTTCTAGAGGCACCCTGCTGGGCTCTGCAGCAAGAGACTGGTTAAGATGAACCCCTTGACTTGACTCAGAAAGCCTGTTACACTACTTGTGGTTGCATATACTAAATTTAAGTTTCTAAACAAATCAAATGTAATCATTCTGTAAAAGCAGCATTGAGAACTTAAAGAGATATACATCACAAAACTTAATTTTCATGAATTTTAAGCAGTACCAATTTTTATAAAATCTTAAATCTAAATCTGGCTCATGCTCAAGCAGTGCTAGTTAGACCTCAGCCTACCCATTTTATAGTTATACTGAGCCAAGCTTTCCCACTATACTGTGCAGTCATCTACAGCAATGCATAAATTGCATCCCGGAGGTGCAGACATAGCATTCCCCAAGCAGAAGAAAAACACATTGCATTGCTAGAATGGAAAAAAAAAGCTAATCTCTTAACTGGAAATGGCCCATAAAGTTTTAAAAGACATGGTTTAACTCGTTCTAGTGAGACTAACAGTAACCACTACTAAGCTGTGAGATTCACCACAATGGTAAAACAGATTTTGTATTTTTACAATACATTTTACAAGCGTCCTTGCCAACACCCAAGCTTCAAGGTGAGGCAGCATTCCAATAGAGATATCCATAGCATTTCACAAGAATGCTGTTTCAGCAAATCTACAAGCAAACAGTCCTTGAATCCTTGGTATGAAGACATCCAATTTTATACTGAAGGCTTAATCTCCTGGGAATGAAGGAATGCGTCACAGTGCGTTTTTGTCAAGCATACCCTGCCCATCTCAAGTCTGACGTCACAACCGAATGGCAGCTTATTCAGCTTGCTTTGTTTCAGCAGCCCACTAAATCTAATTTCCAATCGACAAAGTGTTCATCAGAGTTGAATTATTTTGGCAGTTCACCAAAAGGTCTATTATGCCAAGATCTCTCCCTCCCCCCCAATCATGGTGTTTCCAAACTCACAAGTTACTCATGCTTGGGGAGTTAAGTGAAATGTTTGCCCTATCACTTGGTGCTAAACAAAGGAGGAAAGCTGCCCAGCTAGCATCAAGCTTGTTATAATGACACTTGCTTTGAACAGGCAGGAAATATCACATTTTACACTTTTGCTTTTTAAAAGATTTTAATCAGACACATTACAATGCACAATTGTGTCTTTTGATCCAGAATTAACAGGGTACCATCCACAAGATTTGGAAAGAGGAAAAAACTTCCCTACCCCTACCCCATATCCCCATCCCTTTAAATCAACACACAAGAGTATTCACAGTTCCTACCACTTTAAGTTTCCTCCCCTGCCCCTTTCATCCCCCATATGTGTTGTACTTCAGAATTCTCTGGTGGCTTTAACTAGTTAGAAACAACCATATTATCGGTTTGTAAAGGTGTTTAGTACGTGCATAAAAACCAAGATTTAACTTGTTGAGTTGACAGCTATTGATGACAAAAGCTCGGAATATGTGAAGTATGAATGTAAGCAGGTTATCTGTCCTATAGCCAGTAGGAAACTTATGGTTTACTGTTCCCAAACAGAAATACTAAGAGATCCCCCCCCAGCTAACATGTATCCTGAAGGAAAGCATTAGGAATGAACTTATTTGAAAGTAACCTCTTAGAATGCCTTTCAAAGCCAGACTAGTAAAATTAAATCAATGAACAAATGTCTCATTTAACTGCTTCAAAAAGAAAAAAAACTGCACTTCAGTTTCAAGTTGCAAGTACACCACATCAGTCTGGTAGGCAGATTTCTTGCCAACTGGGATCTAGTCTATGAGCAGCCTGATATTATCAGATGAGAAAACAAAGCCAAGGACTACATTCTAATATCAGGTTTACAAGTGCAAGATGGATAAACAAGGAGCAAGGTTTATCCTAGAGTGACAGAAGTAAAGACAGCTTAAATTATGTCATTCATCAGAACAGTGAAAAAATTATTACCCGAACTGATGTTTATCATTTATCTTTAAGCACCAAACGGCCACTTTGTGTGCATGCTCTTTCAAGTGAACATTTAGTTCCCTTAGCATAAAATCTTAATTATAAACACGGGTTTAAAAAAAAACCTCAGGCACAAAATCAAGGACAATTTGGTCAGTATTTCCTTCAATGTCCAACTATCAACATACAAATTACTTGTTGCAAATTTTAAATGAGATTAGCAGTAAAAACAAACTAGGGCAGGCTCTAAGCACTCTGACCTGAGATTAGAATCTAGTTCAAAACACGTTTTGAGTAGTCTACCAACCACAAACATAAACTAGCACTTCCAGATAGCAAGAATTTAGCAACTATCCTGAATTCTTTCATCAGTCCAAACTAATCACATTTTGTGATTAGCTTTTAAGTTTCTTTAAATTCATTTGCTTGCAATATGGTCTTATTTAGCATTTGTCTTCAGCAGGGAAACCATTACAGGAGCCATATTTACACTCTGATGTCCATGCTGGCCTCTGGACACTGGCTACACCACCATCGGCAAACATTACATGAGGGAACTTCACAACAGAGACTCACTGTAATTTGCAATAGCAAGTGTGACCGTTCAGTATCTTTGCCAGGCTACCATGTTGTATGATTCAGTTACCTCCAGTGCATGAAACCAATGTACAAATTCCTCTACATACATGACTGAAATTTCATTGAAGGACAGTAAGTCAGGCACTCCACACTCCAAACTAACAGAAATGAGAGAGCACTCTTGGTCAAAAACATTAAGGGCCAAATTAGACTTGATGGAAGGGATATATGATTATGATCTCCCATGGCCACTTGAAAGCTAACAAACAGCCCTACATGGCTGCTATCAGGAAAGGGTCACTGGAGCCCATGTCTCTTCAACAATTTAAAGTGCCCCTCCAAAGCTGCAGTTAGCGTACAAATGGTGTAGCTCTCCCCCCCTCTCCCGCCGCTAAGCTAATTGCGGCTTTGTAGAGGCCATCTAAAACAATGAGTAGACGTGGTAGGAAGATGTTAAGACCAGTTTCCAGTCACCCTTCCGCATATGGGGCTGTTAATTTATTTTAATGAAGAGTCTAATCATGGATCTCCTGCATCATGCCTAATTTGACACTATGTTTTTGGATAATAACCTAGCTGAAATTACATAGCATAGTGGGCTGAAAAACTTTCTAGTTAATTGGACTCTTTAACAAAGATTCATTTTAGAATAATGACACTGCTTAATTTTTGGCAGGGGAAGAAATCCACTTTTTGTTTATAAGGCAGATAATACAGAGATACTGAAAACAACTTCTACAAGCATTTGACCTGTAATATTGTAAAATCAAAGTACTATTTTATTAAATGAGTTATTTTACACAATGTGAACATTAGTATAATTACAACTATTTAAAAAATTAAGAATGAACCAATTTTCAGATTTCCAAGTAGGGCACAACTGTACAGTTATAGATTTGTCTTTACATAAAGCCCAAGAGAAACAGCATAAAAATATGAATGTTTCCATAGCCCCTTCATTTTTGCTGATCAACAGTTTGTTAGAAAAGCAGCTGCAAGTTTGTTATGCAATGCCTGACAGTAGAAGAGCCAACAGGATCCATGAATTCACCTGCAACAGAAGAGTAACTATTAAAATGAAATCACTGTATATTATAACAACTAGCATCCAATTATTAAATGCAATGGCATTTCATAATTAAATTAACCTCCCTGAACCCTTGTAACAGAACTACTTGAAAAAACAAAACGAAAACTAGGATATCCTGCATATTTTATGCTTCACATTGATTTATTCCTGATTTGCTGTATGAATTAAAGAACTTCTTAATGTGATGGGGAAAATGAAAGCACACGAGGTTTTTTAAAGTCCCTCGACCTCAGTATCTGAGACAATAGCTTCATTTAGTCTTTACAGTACAGTTCTAAATTCAGAAGTAGTTAAATGGTACATAATCACCTGTGAATTTTATGCCTGAACATCAGCCAGTTCTGGAGGAAGCGGAGTCTTCGGATGCTTGCTCTCAAAGTGCTGTTTGAAGGTCTTGGGATCTGGCATTTGTGTCTGAGCAAGGACAGAAGGGACCTTTATTTAAAACACACACACTATCCGAAGGACTGCTCCCTCTCCCTGTTTAGCACAATTGGTTTAGCTCTCTGCCCGAACAGGTACTGCTCCCCACTCTTTGCCATGTTTTATTCCCCTGCTTTATTCCACCCACTCATATCTCTTCCGTTTTTGTCTCTCCTACCAGCTGGTATGCATAACTGCATTACTTTGACTGGTACGTAGCTAGCAATCCTTTCTGAAATTAATGGAGCCAATTTTTAAAAACACAGCTTTTTGAATGCTGGTAACTAAAGCACTATGTAGCCGCATTTTTATTTCGGATGCATTATTCACTCTCTCATTATGACAGCTACAGAATGTTCAAGATAACTATGACTACTGCATCTCTGCTGACAGCTTCAGTAAAATGATTTTACTTTTCAGTTACACTTCTGATTAAGTTTGGCATGCTGCTTGTTATTTTCCCAACACTGCCAACTGTAGCTCTATTATTCTCTGGCTCATGCGCACCTTCTGTCCTCCGCTCGCATGCAGAGGCAAAATGCAAGACCCTTGCCTTAAGAAGTCTGATCTAATCATGATTTGTTGAGACATAAAAATTCAGGCAGACCACAGAAGTTCACTTTTCATTCTACAAATATTTGCATCTATGTGGAATGATCTAATCTGCCCTTAGGTCCAAAAAGTATTTTTTCTACAAAATACTAAACTGTTGCAATGGACCCTTAGACAAAAGACAATGCATGCAATTACTATGCAACAGTTAAGACCTATTATCTTTGGTAAATTGTCTTTGGGCCCACAACACCAGACTTTTAATTATTATATGTAGTAAAGACAGTAAATTGCTGCTGGAAAACATGGTCTAGAAACAGGCAGACCCACGTAGGGTTGCCAAGTTGAAAAATGTACTTACCGGGGGACTCCCGGTCCGCGGCTGGAGCGCGCGCGCCACACGCTCATCACCAGGAAGTGACATTATGACGCCAGGCACGCTGGGGGCGGGGCCACGACCATCCGAGGGAAAACCATAGAGTTTTCCCTCGGATGACCGTGGCCCCGCCCCCAGCGTGCCCGGCATCATAACGTCACTTCCTGGTGACACGCACGCCAGGGTGGGGTTCCCCCGGGGCCCGATCCACCAGCGGCGGGGAACGGGCCTCTGGGGTGGGGGTTTCCCCGCCCCCGGGGGGACTTGGGAAGCCTAGACCCACATAACAAATAAACATGACCAAAGACACCTTGAGAATGTGTGCCAGCTTAATATGTACCTATTTTACTAAGTGCTACACAGTTACTCAGTTATGTGTCCAGACAATGGGCTGGATCCAGCGGAAGACTTCTGCTTGTGCTACAACTCTAAACAACAAAAAGACTGCCGTAGCCCTTGGCACTAAGTCAAACCTATGGTACCCCCACTTGTGCAAGATCTTTTCGGGCACTATTAGATACAGGAGGAAAATGCTAGGCATTGCACAATATTTTGCACAAGTGGAAATGTGCCAAACCCATTTATGCATTCACTTGTGCATCACTGGATCCAACCCAGCAGATGCTTAATTACTGCTTACAACTGTATGCTCACATACATTCCATCATGGGCCTCTGTGTTCATGTCTGTTATGCATAACAGAATACTGCCCATTGCCCAGCCCCCCCCAAAACATGAATGCTTCTTTCCTTCTCTATGGCTCCTTAGCATACTGATCAGCAGTAATCATTACATTCTGACTGCTGTCATACCTATCAAATGTCAGCAGCTCAGGATGTACAGTCCCCCAAAAGCTGCAGGAGTGGCCAGGAGCCACATAGTGCACACTCATATCTTCATCCTATGTGAGATTCTGTTGGTTGCTAGACAAACATTTGATTTAACAGCACAAAGCAGCAGCTAAGGGTAAAGCAGCCAGTCAGTACTGGAGGAAGTAGGGATTGTACTCATAAAAACAGGCATGAGAAAGAGAAAGAGTGATGATACAATATATGCAGGGAGTCTTGCTGCAGGTCTCTGTGTTTCCTACAGAGAACAAGCATTTGGGGGATCTCTCAAGGGAGGTCAGAATCAAATGAATAAATCCCCTCTCAAATAGTACCTTCTGCAACTGGGGTACTTATGCTCTACAGAAAACAGACTCTCAAGCAAAAATTCTGGTTGTGTGACCATATCTTTCTGTAGATCCCAGTCTGTTCTACACTTTCTCGCTGTGAGATTCCAATTTATGGACTAAGAATATTGCCACAGAATACTTTTCTTCAGAGACTCTTACCCTACAGACGGTGCAGGTGTATATTAGAGCAGCCTTTGCTGCAGCCTTCTGGTCATGGCCTTGTTTCTTTTTCTGTCCAGCTTGCTTTTTGGCATTTTTCTGCTGTGACTGGATCTTCTGCTGTCCACGAGCCATATCTAAAAACAAGTGTGACAGTAATTATAGCAGGTGGATCAATTACAGCACAATCCTAAACTTTATCCAGGACTAAGTGCCACTAAGTTCAATTAATGTTTCCTAGTAAATGTATTTAAGAGAGTCCCAAAGCAGGAAAACTACAAACCCTCTTTCACCTAACTGTACAGATCAACTCTTAAGAACATAAGAACACAAGAAGAGCCCTGCTGGATCAGACCAATAGTCTATCTAGTCCAGCATCCTGTCTCACACAATGGCTAATCAGTTCATCTGGAGGCCCAACAACAGAGGCTGAGACCTTCCCCCGATGCTGCCTTCTGGCTCTGGGATTCAGAGGTTTAGCACCTCTGAATGCGGATGTTCCCCTTAGTCAGCATGGCTAGTAGACACTGATAGACCTATCCTCCATGAATCTATCTAATCTCCTTTTAAAGCTGTTTATTCCTGTGGCCATGACTACATCCTCTGGCAGTGAATCCCACATTTTAAACTCTTCAGGAGGCAAGTGTGTCCTCCTCAGTCGTGGTCAAGCTCCCTTTACAAATTCTTGCACAAAGTTCTCTCACAACTAGCTGCATGAAGGGTGCTCTAATGTTCACTTGCAGGAGGGAAGGTGACGTGGTACAGCCCTATCTTGGAAGCTAAGCAAGATCGGTACTTGGATGGGAGACTACCAAGGAAGATTCTGCTGAGGAAGGCAATGGCAAACTGCCTCTGCTTCTCACTTGCCCTGAAAGCCCCTTGCTGGGATACCGTTAAGTACACTGTGACTTGACAGCATTTTACACACACACACACCTGATCATTCACAGTGGCACAAATCCTTCAGCGAATACCAGGAATTAAGAATTTTTAGTATTATAATAGTACTTAGCACAGCAGTGTCTTCCACTGAGAAGTCTGTGGGTAACAGTGATGCCTTCTTTTCTTCTGATGTTAAGTATGCCAGTGATCATTAATATGCTTAAAGAAAACAAGGATCAAGCAGCTAAAAGCCATGTTAATTGGGAAGGGGAGATGATGAAGAAAACGTTTCCCACCATTAGGGGAATAAAGATGATGGAAAAAGAAGATTAAAAACCTATTATCTGTGGTATCTCAAGAAAATGTACAATGCTGCAAGGAAATGTGTACTAGCTGACCACTGTCCACTCATCACCAAACAACCAAGCTTAATCTGTCTTGGGTCCTGGGATGCCTGGAAGAAAGGCAGGCACGTAAATATTTTAAAAATGTAACAGCATATACAAATAGGGCAAAAGAGCTGCAGGATGTTCACTGAAGCAAGAATCAAGGAATTTTCAATCCTAGAGTCTCTGCATGATTGCCAGGTGGGACTGGTATCCCTAGTTTTTGAGGTACAAATGCTTTGCATCACCTTCTTCTAAATGGTGGCAGTAGCAGAAAGTTCATACAAGGCCACAGATAACATGACAGCAAAAACTGGACAAGTTGAGGTCAGAACCACACACAGTCCAAGGCTACCTGCGCTACAAACAATGGCTTGCAGTTAAATGTACTGACACTTTAACATGCTCAGCTATGACATTTACAGTGAAAGTATTTGGCAATCAGCATGTTTTACATCAAAAATGTATTTTATGCAGGCAAACATACTTCTTTCAAGCAGGGTGGCTACTAGATTTTTAAAAAATGTTACTGAAATCAGATTTGCTTGATGTTTAAATTTTCAGTTATAGTCAGTCTCTTTTTAAAATAAGAGGTTTAAAATTGGAATTTGTATAGAAAAATTACATACCACTTCTCTGTAGACCTGCTTGAGGCAGCTGATTTAGTGCAAAAATATTATAGGCTATACCTATAATGGTTTAATAATGAATCTATATTTCCATCAAATGAAACACTGGATTTCTGTGAAGCTTTTCTACATAGCAAAATATCAAACACTGAGGATAAGCATTAAAAGTGACCTGCAGGTCTCCTAGTTGACCTCGCAGATTAGAACAGCATTACAGGTGCTAGTAGGGATCCAGTAGGCCCCACACTGTAGCTCTGCAGGGTCAACCACTGAGCCCACATCATTCATTCACACTCTCTCACATACAAAGCCATTGTGGGGGTTGCTCAGCAACCACAATAGTATTGTCAGCTTCCAACCCTTGGTTTCTGTTAATGAAAGGCAATGGGGAGAAGGGCCCTTTCCAGGGTTGTTTTGGCTTTTGAAGGAGGATTCACTGGCCTGGCTGCAATCAGGGCCAGGTGACTTCCTCCTATGCAACTTGCATGACTCACTCAGGACTGGCTGCTTGCTACTGTTCAACAGCAGCCTCCCTCCACAAAAGCAAGTGTAGTATAGTGGTTAGAGTTTCAGACTAGAGTTTAAGAAAGAGACCCAGGTCTGAATCACCACTTGGCTGTGGAAGCTCACTGGGTGACCTTGGGTCAATTACACACTCTGAGCCTAACCTTCCTTATGGGTTGTTATGAGGGTAAAGTAGAATGGAGAATGATGTAAGCTACTCTGCATCCCTATTGTGGGGAAATAAATAATAAATAAGAGTTAAATTAAAAAATAAGAAATATAGCTAAAAATGAACGGCAGATAAAATGCAGGTTCAAGTGTGTGAAGAAAAGAAGGAAGCAGGGAGTAGGAAGGATATGGGGGTTGTCAGGAGGAGGGAAAGAAGACATAATGTGGAAAGGGAAAGTGAGATGCTCCCCATAAGTCCTTGCAGTTCCCTATCATGCCACTGGGCCATAGTTTTCCTGGGTAGAAGGTGCTTGATGTATGTGTGGAAGGAGGGAAACCTGAAAATGGGAGACAGATAAAGACAGGTTGGCTAGTGAGTGGGAAGGAAGCAGGGAAAGGGGAGAAGCTATGGGGGATTTCAGGAAAGGAACAGAGAAACTGACACCTCCCCACAAGTCTTCATGGCTCCCCCACTTGTATATTCTATTTTATGTCCTTGACCCACACAAGCTCTACAATGTGTTCAATTACCAAAATTATGAATATTTATAATTAGCAATTGCAACAATTGTGCATAGACATGTTTTTATATATTTGGAAGCCTTATAGATGCTTATCTGTAGATTTGCCATTTTTAATTTTTCTATTTGGGGGCTGTGATTAAAAAATTATTTAAAAAATAATCAAACAGCACAGGTATTTTTCATCAAATGAATAAATGCTGTTTGGCCTACTAACTACCAGTACTTATTTCTTTAAAATTCCAGGCATATAATCTTTACATGATCTAGCAAAAGGCATAAATACATGTTACCTTGGCAATATGCATGCCCAGACCCATGTTTGCCAAGTTAATGAGATACAGAAATTTGTAGAGGAAGATTAGGGTCTATACTTAACCTTTTCCCAATTTCCCCCAGCAAATTCTCTTCTTCTACCAGTCAGCCTTAACTCCTGACTCGGAGCCCAGTTGTGGAAAAATGCATTAAAACTGCAGGGGGAGACATTTGAAGGCAAGAATGAGCAAGCAAGGGAAGCATTACAAGACACACATGGTGGTACAAAACACACATAGGCTCAGTGGCAATGCTTTGCATATAGAAAATCCCAGATTACGCCGCTGATCTCTCCAGTTAAATGCACCAGAGAAGACTTTGCTATCCCTAACACTGAAGAGCTACTACCAAGATAAGCAATGCACAGCCACGTGGCCAGACTCAATATTTACTTATTTATGTTATTTATAGCCTGCCTTTCTCACCTGGATTCAAGGCAGATCACACAGTGAGTCAATATAATTGAAAGGACAGGACATTCAATGAACAATACAATAGACTTATGGTTGTACAATTAGAAACTAAAAACAGTCACCTCAAGTTTGTTATTTAGTCAAAGTTATTATAAATTTATTTGATGTCTAATCGGTTATTTTAATTGTATTCTAAGTAATTTCCGCTGAAATATTCTATTGTAGTACCAGAGATATAAACTTTACAAATGACACAGGCAAATCCAATTACCTATATTATTTTTTACTCAAAAGACAAACAAAAGCAATTGATTTCTAAGACTGAAAACAACTGATTTACTGGGGAACCCACAAAAGCCCCAATAAATGCATTTAATCATATGCAAGCCTAGATTTTTTCCCAAGAGGTATAATAAAAGGGGGGTATACTAAATATCCATACAAATTTGTATATATAGCACTTTTAGGAGACACCTTCCTTGCACCCCCCACACCCAGCTTCAGCAGCCAAGTACAGCTGATCTGTCTCTTACTCTTTGTTTCCTCTAATTTTAGGAGACACCTTCTTTGCACCCCCACACCCAGCTTCAGCAGCCAAGCACAGCTGATCTGTCTCTTACTCCTTGTTTCCTCTCTCTCCCGGCCCTCCTATTGCCACAGGATCTCAAGGAGGCACACCAGATTTCCCCTTCCACTGCCCCATCCCCACCACCACCAGCCCTGTGAGGTGGTCCAGGCTGAGTGACTGGCCATGGGTGACCCAAATGACACATTCCTAGTTCCGGGGGGAGGGGGGGTTCTGAATCCCTCTTGCGTTTCCCACAGAAGCGATGGGGATGAGAGGAAGGCCTGACGGAGAGGCTGTTTCCAACCTCCAAGGGGTACGTTTTGTCCTCCCACAATCCCTTTTCCTTCATGGGCTGAGAACAGGTGTGGGGGAGAAGGGAGGTTGCCACCCCCCACCCTCCCCAACACTCACTCCTGGCTGGTCAAACATGAGATGGTGACAGCGGTGCCCCCTTTCCCCTTCACTCCTCCACTCGCTTCCAAGGCTTCAGAGTGGCATACACAGGACAGCTCAGTTGCCTCCCAATCCACGTGCTGGTCCTCTCTCCTCTGCCAGCCCTGTCCCTTCATCAGCAAACCATGACTCTCACTCTCACCAGCCCCTCTCATGGTTGCTGTTTGGTGTGGCAGTGCCGGCCACTCAGCTCCATCCCTCTGTGTATAGTGACTTCACCAATCCTTGCTGAGCTGTGATTGGAGGAGGCAGAAGGAGAAAACATCATGCCTCATTCTCTGCCTTCACTGCCATACCCCCACACTATTTTATCACAGCCTCACAGTCCTGCCCCCTAGCAATTTCCTTTCTATTTCTTGACACCTTCGACCACACACACTTCACCATGTGTATCCACTCACCTGCCCCCCCCCCGGTGAGCAGCCTCCTGACTTCCCTTCCTCACATCAGTTGCTCATGGGCAGGGGTCGTTTCGTAGAAAAAGAGCTAGGGGTGCAGCTCCACTGCCGAGCCCCATGAGGGGCCCGGCGGTGGACCTGCAAGGCCGGCGGGAGTGCAAGGAAGCCCCGCGAAGGCCCTCCCTGGCCCCAGGCAGGCAGGGGTGGGGAGCGGCAGGGAGGAAGCAACTTACCCTCCCTCTTCTCCTGCCTCCTCCTGGCTGAATGAGGGCCAGAAGCGGGGTGGCCGGAAGCAGGGGGCGGGGCTTTGTCATGTGCCCCGCCCCCGTACCTCACCCGGGGGAACTGCGTTCCCCCCCGAAATGACCTCTGCTCATGGGCTGGATAAGAGCCCTGGACCGGTTGTTCCCAGCCCCTGGGCCATCTGTTTGACACCCCTGCGTTAAATGATGCAAAACTTACATAGTAGGATCCTATTGTCAGCAAGCTAAATGCAGTAGTATAGACCACAGTCCCTAATAATTTATCCAAGTAACTCTGTGAATCAGTTAGTACAGTGTGACTCTATTGCTTGTGTAGAAAAGCCCTCCTGAATAATTCAGTTTTGCATAGTTTGTGGAAAGCCAAGAGAATGGGAGCTTTCCTCCCCTCCTCAGGCAGACCATTCCATAAGATGGGGACCACAATGGAGAAGGCATTGTGTACAGGCAGTTGTTGATTCTGCCCATTATCAACATGTGCAGAAGACCTTGCTCAGATGAGCAAAGCTGTTTTGGCGAAACATAGGGAGAGAGGCGGTCTTGGGGTACAAGGCCATAAAGGGCTTTGTATGGGATGGCTGATATCTTACATTGAGCCCAGGAACTGACGGACAGCCAGTGGAGTGATTGTAGAATAGGAGCAATATGTATGCTCCGTTTAGCTCTTGATAATATGTCAGCGCCACACGTTCTGTGTGCTCTTGGACTTCTACAAAGAAAGCTGAACAGAAATCCCATAATTTCACTACTACCCATCTCTAAGCAGTTACTTCTACATTGCAAATGGCACTCCTGATTGAAGAGTTCAGATTATGTTAGCAGCCGTATGAACTTACATGTGAATATATTTTGTTATAGTGGCCAAATGTGTATGCTTGCTTGGATTACAAAAAGCTTCATTTAAATTCCTAATTTATATCAACCCACCATGCTTTCAAGGGAGGCAAGCTCTCCTGATACAGTTTATGGTGACAGAAAAGTCAATGGGATTTGACTAGCCTTGAAGGAGTGCTGGTCAGCATGGATGTGGTTATCACCTTTTACCATAGCAACCCCATGAGATAGGCTAACTGTGTCTCAGAATAAAACAAAAGTCCACTAGCATCCTAAAGGCTAGCAATATTTATTTCAATATGACTGTGAGTCACAGTCTACTTCAACAGATAGATATGTGAAGGAAAATCATACGGTGAAGGCTGGAGGTAGGAGGAGTCAAAGCATGGTGTGAATTATACCATGCATCTTCAAGAGTAAATCTCGTCCAGTTTGCTTCATGGCTGGGCCACATTTGCATTAGCTTCCAATTTTGCATCAACAGACTCTACTATCTTCCTAACTTTTGCCTTTGTCCAATCCCCTTTTCCCAACAGGAACCATGTGTCCCCAATAAAATGAATTTTCACTTCATTTTGGTTTGCTTTCAGTTTCTTCTTGTGCATACACTGTCTCATATACAGGTAATGTGCTACTGTACATTTTGTTGAACTGCTAGATAAGACTGAAGAGTAGGAAGGATATGGTTGTCTGCCACTCATCTTCTTTAGCCCCATGTGCACTTGAGTGACCAGCTTTCTGGGACTCTCCATTCTAGTAGAGCTGTGAACATTAAGGCCATTAGGGCCAAGCAGTAAAAATCTCCCCCTCTCCAATGTAAAGCAATTGGTGCCTGATTTTTAAAACATGAACAACCCAACATTCACACTAAAGCTCTTAATGCTGCTTTTATCACTTTGTGCATTTTAAAAAACACCCCTAGTGTTTCAACACAGCTCAGCTTCTAATTCTCTGCACAGCTCTTTGTACTCCCTCAGAAGCCAGCACTGAGAGCAAGTAGTCTTTCCAGAATGTAAGTTGCACAAGAGTGATGGATCAATTTCTGCCAGTCTTCTACTTCTTGCTGTAACCTCTTCATGCCACAAGGATTCCTGCACCACTGAATCTCAGTAGGATCTTATCAAGAGAGAGAGAGAGAGTTTGTGTGTGTGCACGTGCGGGAGACAGAGAGGACTGGAAGCTACTTAGGGCAGCATTAAGTGGCAAAGACTGCTTCAACAAACTAGCTAGTGGAAGCACTGGAGCCAACCAAACTTAAATAAATGAAATAAAGATTTAAACTAGTAGGAGCACAGTCCCTCTGGCTCATTTGCTGAAGCACTTTATTTCTTAAACCCCAAACCATTTTACTTTAAAGGTTCGGTGTCAACTGTTCATATTGGTTGATGATAATGCTAATTCTTCCCATCTTTTATCAGAAAAAAAGGAACAAGATACTGGGAAGCATAGATTGCTGCACAAATAGTGGTCACTGGGGATTGGATTGGATGTCAGTATATTATTCTTTGCCGGAATCAGCATTTGGGAGGCAGTTCTATCTCTCTCCAGTGAGAGACAGTAGATGCCCTCATACACACAAACTGTTGTTCTTCACTTGTGACAGCACTTTTCATGCCAATGCCAGCCAAGTGGTTTGGGAGAAAAGGTGAACAAACTTGAAGGTGAACAAAATTTGAGTCCAGTGGCACCTTTAACACAACAAAGTTTTATTCTGGGTAATCAAACTTGTAGGTATGAGGGGCATTACAGAAGATTACTACTGGTACGTGCCACTGTAACTTGAGTGTTCATTATAGCCGTATTTAACAACCCCCCAATAATTCCACGATGCTCAGTTATGTTACGAGTATGGAATTAGAGATGAGACAACGAATTACTCACAGCCAAGCACTCTCTGAACTCATGAACTCAATCCTCCCAGCGACAGACTTAGATCTCCCCATTGGACCACAGTGGCTACATTCAGACACCAAAAACAAACAAGCCACTGTTTGCTTTTTGCAAAAACAATTCCTTGGGCCCTCCTTTACCCCTCCATTGCATGTAGGGCACAGACTGAAGGCCACCTGGTTTGATAACAACCATCTTGTTGTGACATCCAAATAAGGAAACCTGACAGTTTTGCTTTCTTATTTGCTTACAGCCAAGACTCTCTAAAACCATGGCACAGAACCTGTATTTAGGCAAGACACAAACCACTCTCCTTTTCCTTGATTTTCACTTTACATCATATGTGTCCAGTGCAGAACGTAATGAGGGACAGGAGAGCAATCAAAGTCTACTGGATTTGGGAGCTTCTTTTCATCACAACCCCTCCCCAACCATCCAGAGGTTTATTTGTGACATCTCAATGCAGCCAAAGTCTGTCATATTAGTATTAGCCATACAGTCTGAATAGCCCAGCTTAGCCCAAACTTACCAGAACTTGAAAAGCAAAGAAGGGCCCCAGGCACACGGGCCAGATATCGCAGGGTGGGAGGCGTGGCTAATTGCCCCGGCGCAGTTTGATCCGCGATTACGCGATCAGACGCACCAGCGGCACAGCACGGGTCCTTCCCTCGGCACCAGCGGGTAAACGAGGGACCAGAGGGGAATGCCTCACGCTGGCACGATCACACCACGGGCGTCTGGAGGCAGCCTGTGGCAAACGTTTACTAGTACCTTGGAGGTACTAGTTTTTAAATGCGTATTCTCGGTGGTAAGCCATGGGTGCACTCCACTTCCCAGATGATGGGGTGTGATTGCGCCCGGATAATCCGCCCACCTTCTGTGCCTCTGCCGGGGCAACTTTGCCGTGTGACCGGGGCCAAGGTTGGACAGGGTTCATTCTTGGCTTGGAGATCACCAAGGAAGATGGAGTTGCTGGCAATGGCAAGCCACCTTGGCTCAGCTCTTGCCATGGACAGGGTCACCATGAGTTATTTGTAACTCAACAGAATGTTCTTTTACTTTAGTTTACAATATGTAACTGTATTTGAATATTCTACCTTACATACTTTTTTCCTATTAATATACTACACATGGGTTGTTACATTCCTTCCACCTGCTTTCTATTACAATATCAAACTAAATATTTTAATACAAATTTTGGATGTGCATTGTTCCAAGAAACACTCCTGTTTTGAACCATGCTAATTTGTTGCCAAGGCCAATTATTATGTAATAGGAAGTTATATTAACAGAGCCCCTCTTTATGACTATAACTTTGCACACTGGCTCCTGATACACTGGGATGGTTTCCTTTCAAAATAAAACACAAAAATATTTTCCCATTCATGCAATAACCTTGTGTGTACCTTGACTGGAACAGCTGAATTAAAAACACACAGTCTGGATAGCACATTCATTCAAATGCTAAATCCATCTGTGAGATTTTTCAATTGTGTCCAAACTGCTAAGTCTCAAAGGAATTTCACCATAAGATGACTGAATTGCAATTCCTCCTCTAGGGATGTTTCCTTGGTTTCAGATTCCAAAAACCCAACATGTGCAACCATTCCTGATGTTAGCGGACTCTGTGAGTAGTGCAAAAGTCACAGCAGATCATGAAATACATTCTTGGGTATATCCATATGCTGGTATTAAAAGGTACAATGTAATTTAAAGAATCCCGTGTGATACTGCACCACTTGGCGCTCTTTGTCAACAGAAGACAGCTACACAATTCTCAGGAGTCTGTGAAGCTACAAGGTGAACAAACCCAGAAACAAAGCTTAAAGACTTAACTGTCAAAACATACCCCCTTGTGCAAGAACTTGCTTTCAAAGAGGAAATACCTAAGCCTGGAAACAGCTAACAGCACATGACCAAGAAGCAAATGATAATGAGGTTTCATATCTCAGGTCAACACCAGCTGCCGCCTTTTACAAAAGTAGCTGGACAGAAATTAACCATCAACTTGAATTCTGACATACTGCACCCAGAGTGCATATCCATATGCATCCATACGCATAATAAAATGCAGGCATTCCAGAACTTCTTTAAGCTGTTTCAGATGACAGCAGCAGGCTCAGTCACACCACGTGACAAGGCAAGGATTAACCAACAACAACAACAACAAAAAAGCAAAGATGGCCTGTAGTGTGTTGGCATGAAGAAGTTAGGAACCAAGCGTGGCCAACGCAACAAGAGTTAGTTTGGGGGGGGGGTCTTCTGGTCGAGAAGAGGAAAGACAAAAACCTCCTATCCTTTTTACACAAGCAAAGGTCTCAACTGTACTCTGGACTCTTTAACAGCGTGACTGAAGTTGGAGAGGGACAATCTAGGCAAAGACCCTGTTTCTAAAGTCACTCGAAAAATATACTACAAAACCGAGCAGGTTTTAGGCTTACTTTCATTTTAAAATGCATTTCCTCAAACAGGTTCCCCCCATTTCATAACAAGGCCAGCACCCAGAGAATCAATTTCAGGCAAACCTCCCCACGCGCGAATGACAATAACCCCCAACAACTTTCGATGGGGCCCACAGGAGCCCCCTCCCAAAGGCCTCAGGAGCCACAGCTGGCCGAGAAGGAAGTGCCCAACACGGCAGGGCCGCAAGAAGCCACCCTTCCTGGCGGCTGCCTCTCGAAAGCGCCCCCATATCCCGCCCCAGAGAGGAGACCTCTCCCCCAATTTCCCTACCAGCGCCCCACAGGAAGACTTTCCTCCCGGAGGCGGACCGTGAGCCCCCTGTCTTTCTTGGGGGGAAAAGGGGGGGATTTCATCTCACGCCAGCCAGGCTGCCGGCCTCCCCCCTCTCACGACCCCGCGGCCTCGCCGTAGCTGCCTCCCCCACCCCTGCCCCGTCTCTCGCCCGCACAGAGCTTACCCGAGATGCGGCGCCCTACCTGCCAGGCGTCCCTCGACGGCTACGGGAGGCTCCGCGCGGCCCAGCAGCAGCAGCAGCTGCCGCCGCCTGCCCAGGAGGATGGAGGAGCCCGTCTGTCTGCCTGTCCCTCCGCCCGTCAGTGGCGCCTCCTCCGACGCCGTGCGCAGGCGCCGGCCCTCCTCCCCCTCCAAGGAACCAGGCCTCGCTTCTCCCGCCAACGCCTTATCCGGCGCTGCTCGCGTCGCCCAATGGCGGAGGCTCCCCATTACATAACGCGGGCGGGAGCGGTGGGCAGTGAGGGGGGGAGTGGTCGGCTCGCTTTGACCTTAGCGGGAGGAGGGGGTGGAGGCTGGTCAAGCGCGCTACGCTTACGGCACCATTGCTCCCTCCTCCCCATTTTACTTAAGGCTTTTCTGGTCAGGGAAAAAGAGACCGTTTTCCCGCCCTGGTCCCGGGACCGAAGAGGAAAGGAAGCCATCCTCGTCCTGACAGTGACCACAATTTTGAAAAGAAGCCCAAGCCAAGAATTAACAGCACCTTGGGGGGTGGGAACCAAGTACAAATTTGGTTCTGATAATCGTGCCCCGAACAAATACTTTTTGAGGCGGTCCTGCTCGAGATTATAATTGCGCGAATGTTGCTCGCTGCCGGGGCTATTTCCTCCCAGGACACACCCCCCCCCCGTTTGCTCCATTGCTTTCCCTTCTAATGAGAGCGTTCAGATAACTTCGTGTTAATTGGAAGAGAAAGTTGTATTCCTTATCTTTTGTAACAAATAAAATGAAGTGAACCCTTAAAGACTTAACCACATTTATTATACCATAAATATCCCCTTGGGTACCGGGTGTAGTAAAGTGGGTTGTTGAACATGTAAGGCAGCTAAATAAAACCTGGGGTGAGTATTTTGTATTTTGAAGACTTGTCAAGGGATAAGAGCCAAGGCTTCTAGCCTGTAGTCTGCAATCCTCTGTGCTACAAATCATTTGTTGTCATTATTTTAAATTTCTGGATTGCCCAGTCCCTGAGTACATAAGGTTCTGGGCAATTTACAACATGTTAAAAACAGTACAAAATTTCAGATTAAAATCAACTACCAGTAATCAGTTATCCTTAATTTAATAGTCTCCAGATGGCATCCTTAATTTTAATCAAAAACCTACTCTGGACTGTTCTTCTATCACATGGGCAGGTTAAGGAGGAGGTTGAAGCGGGCAAAATGGAAGAAAAAAGGGTGCCAGCTGTGATGGAAAACTTGCTGTCCTCAACCAAAAACTTGGCACAACATCTCTGCCTTACAGGCCCTGTGGAATTGCATTAAGTCCCACACAGGGCCCTGATCAAAGTTGGCAGAGAGTTCTACCAGGTCGGAGCCAGGGCTGAGAAGGCCCTGGCTCTGGTCAAGGACAGCTGGATATCTTTAGGGCCAGAGATCACCAGCAAATTGTTCTCAGCAGAGTGTAATGGTCTCCCGGGGACATAACAGATGAGATGGTCCCGAAGATACGCCCTGACTGCTCAAGGCCTTAAAGGTCAGTACCAACACCTTCAATTGGACTTGGTACTCCACTGGAAGCCAGCGTAGCAGGTGCAGCACAGGTTATCTATGCGCCGTCTGTGTTGTTCCCGTTAGGACTTGTGCCACCACATTCTGGATCAGCTGGAGTTTCCAGGTCAGTCTCAAGGGAAGGCCAGCGTAGAACAAGTTAATAGTAGTCTAATCTGGAGGTGACCATTGAATGGATTACTGTGGCTAGATCAGGACGCAACAGGAAAAGGGCCAATTGCCACGCTTGGTGTAGATGGAAAAATGCCACCCTGGCAATATTCCATAGGACAGGACATCATTGTGAGTCACTGCTTGCATCAAGATTGTATGGAAGGCATGGGGTTGCCAGCTCTGGATTGGGAAATAACTACAGAGGGACTTTAATGGGGTATAATACCATATAGTTCACCTTCCAAAGCAGCCATTTTGTCCAGGTGAACTGATCTCTGCTGCATGGAGCTCAGTTGTAATCCCAGGAGATCTCCCCTGGAGGCTGGCAGCCCTAGTTCAAGGTAGTTGGCTTGCATCTGTATGTGTGTTTCATTTTGTAAGGTGGGTTGAGTCCCTTGTATGGGAGAAAATTGGGGTAAACATTTAAATAAGTTCGGTTTGGTGGTGTTCTGGTCCACTGAGCTCTGTATCCCTAATAATGTTGTGGTGCATACAAGACTATAACAGCAGTAATCAAATAAAAGTAAACTGTCCAGCTCAAACCCTGAAATATGTGACATCTCTCAGTCCAAAAGCCTCCTGCTTTCATATATATGTCTACTGCTAGGGTTTCTCTGCTTCATATTGTATTGGTATTGATAATATTATATGTAATATAATGGAGAAATGATGTAGTGTAATGAGTATTGGACTTAAATAGGGGAGACCTTTACTGAAACGCCTGTTCAGGCATAAAGCTTGAGGCACTTGCTATTTTTCAGCCTAACCTGCCTCACATAGCTATTGTTAGGACAAAGGGTTGTACCATGTACACTACCTTGATTTCTTCGGAGGAAGGGAAAGCATTTTTTTTTGTTATACATGCATTGCTGTGTGCATTTGGCCTTGCAAAAGCAATTTTAGTTGCAAATCTTTCTCAGATGCAGTGAAACTGTTAACAGATATAAAACACCATCAAAAACGTTCACTTTTAACAAATCTTATTATCAGGGCTTTTTTTGTAGAAAAAGCCCAGCAGGAACTAATTAGCACAATAGGCCACACCCAACAGCAGAAACTCATTAGCATATTAGGCCACACCCCTGACAGCACAGCTCATCAGCATGCCTTCCCTTGGCTTGCCTGGGCGCCTTGCGGCTGCGGGGAGTCCAGGCAACCTGGCCCTTGGGGGGGGGGGGTGGTTTAAACTGCCTTCCCTTGGCTTACAGGCCCTGTGGCTGCACCCAGGCAAGCTGGCCCTTGGAGTCGCTGGGTGTGTGTGTCACTCTCCAGGCCTTCCCTCTGTAGCCACGCATGCAGAGGTCTTGGCTGTAGTGGGCGTGGCCAACTCTGAAGCCAGCCAGAACTCTGTTCCTGTG